TAAGGTCTTCTCAAATGCCATGAAGGATGAAAACGATACACCCACAAATTTCTCAACGAAAGCCACTTCCGAAGCCACAGCAGACGAAGTTCAAAGCCGAATGTGCGCCAATAATTTTCAAATGTCTCGATTAAAACAAATCGCATAAAAATAACGGCAGATGAGGGGGGTTTTCAATCTACGCATATATGCAAAGAAGTGCAACATTTTGACGTTAAAGTTTTTATTTCGGCTGCAGGGGTTTTGCAGAAAAAATACATTGTGCGTCTAGCCGCTGGCGACTTTGAGACTTTTGCTGAGTGACTGTTGTTGTAACCGCCGGTTGGCTATTGGTTGATTCAGTGAGCCTGCTTTATTTGGGTTATGTGAGGCTCTCTGTTTGTTTTTTCTTCGTGAACTGCTTTGGGCCGATTATTTTCTTGGGCTCAGCATACTGTTGAATCAATTTCTGGTTTTATGAGCCTCACAAGTTTTCAGTGTGCGACAACCAAGAGATACTGTACTGCAACTCTTTGTCCAATATAATGAATTAATAACACATTTAATCTAACTCTTATTTTTCCTCTCGACTGCGGTTTACAAGTCGCCACAAAATGATACTCACTTTCCAGCAACACGATCGGTGGATCAACAGAATTTTGTAGTAAGTGATGCCGCCATAATCGTATCCATGAGCCATCGTATTCTTGAATCAAAGCAGTGTGTTGTTTCTCAAAATACGCCAGCATTATCGTCGAAAAGAAGCCAATGCAGCGAATGAAAGAACTTGAAACAATTTTACGCTCTGTGTAATGGACGAACAAATCGAATCAGAATCAGGTGCCCAAAGGTGGAAAATGATGGATCTTCGCAGCTAAACAACGCCGACATCTGGTGCGATATATGGCCGCTATCATTTGAAAACTTTCCATGATGAAAAAAGCTACCTCCGTGTCACTGTGGTAATTATATCGTTACAAAACGCTAATGCTGGTCAGAAAATAAGATGAAACAGTGACCAATGGCGTCGCATCCAACCGTGGATATTCAAAATGATGAACTTGTTCAGCCACTGAAATATTGCAAGTAGTTTGTAACTAATCCACTCGGTATTTGGTTGATGGCTTTGGTCCCAGGAACGGGTCCTATTGACTCTGGGACCATTTTTAATCGGTGGCCACGGATATGTTTGAGACATTTTTAACCAAGTATCCGCCGTAATGGCCCTATCTGACTTCGGAACGATCACAGTGCCGTCGTTAGTCGAAAACGAAACTAGTTCCGCTGGCAGTTTAACATAATTACCTGCGACTCAGACGTAACAATCTACTCGCGAATTAGTTGAAAAATATTCAACCGCCCACGACCGAGTTCACGCTTCCACTACAAGTTCATCAGATTGGCACATTATCCAGGTTTCTGTCAACCTTATGCTCCACTTGGGACAGAATACGACAATTCACGCAGAACATAACTCGTCGACTGCTTCCACCTGATGAGCAAATAAAAGCGCTTGTAGACAATTTTGATGCAGACTAAATATAAAGGAAAGAAAATAAATCCAAGGAAAAATTGTAATTCACTTACCAAGGTTCCCCTTATATTCACAGAATATAAATCCAAGATTCAAGGGGTGAATCTCCGTAGTTAAATCATTATATTTGAGTTCCTTTCTGGAAAATAGCTCATGTTAATAAAAAATAAAACAAAACCTACACGCACCAATACATTTAAAGGAGCCAGCAGCCATATGGGTAGCATCTATGGAAGAATATAACTGAAAGTGAAGGGTGCGCCGTGAAAGTGCCAATGAATTAAGGCACCCTTAGAGCTTCAGAACTACAACACCAAGTGCCACATGTTCATACATAAGTTTGCCTCCGGTACTATATATTTTCGAGAAATTTTGGGTACGTTTGCAACACAATGTAGATGATTACTTTTTATTCACTTTGCAAGATTAGGCAATAAAAACCTGCAAACAGATAAATTGCAACATTTGGCAGCACATGCCTTGCGTTCGATACTTGTAGTTTAAAAAACCAAACGCCTGTGCTGTCAAAACTATGAAATATGTGCACACATTCCAAAGTAATATTCCGGTCCCCACACACGTCACTCAGCCTTCTTAGCTAGCATAATTATGTTCTCAGGAAATTAAAATATTTGTTTCGCCAGGCACAAGTGTTTTTAAATTCAGCAAACTGGAGTTTTCAATTGCATCTACGGGAGTTTACCGTACTATCAGGCTGTGAGTGACTTCAAACAAAGCTGACAATGTATATCTATGAGACATGGTCAAGAAACAGTTATTTGTTATCCTTTCTGCTGTAAGGCCCATGCTTTACGGCTGCCATGAAAATGGTGAAAGTGCATCAAAAAGCTGAAAAAGCAGAAGAATATGTGGTTATGTATTGTTTAAGAGAAAGTGGAAAAAAGTTGAGTCAGTGAGTTGGGATTAGAATCACACTGTGCACGTTCATTGGTCCCGTGGCACAGAATTATCCCACTGCGTTAACGATCCATGGTTAACGCTTAACTAGTATTTTATTTGCCCTTAATCTCAAGGTGACTTATTGTGGCTTAACGGTGTTCGACTTCTTTTGTCACCTGACAATTGTTAAACCAATCATTTACTTGAACATGGCTTGTGAATCGAATTTCGGTCGTCGTTCGAATGACGGTTTGATTCTCCGATGGTGATCGTTTGTGTCCATTTTGTTTTCTTCTTCTGCACCATTCCAAACGAAATTTTACTAAAGCACTTAATTTGATTCTTACCCTAAGAAATTACTTTCTCTCTCCGCTGGAACTGTTGCGTTACAGTCCAGTGAACATGCCAAGAACCTGGGTCTTCAAGTTGCTACTTTTGCACTGACATTTTGGTTCTTGCTTATTTAGACTTTTGGTAGCTATGAGTATTTCTATCGGACGGCTGGCGTAACCACTGCGATATGCGCTGAGATATGTGCTGAGGTATGGATGTCCTCGTGCTGTATTCTGAACGTTCTGAGATCAGCGAGGTCGTCTGTGACTTTCGTAAATGCTTAGCAGGCGAAAACGAGAATTCCTTGCTCTCCAAGATATAGTTCCAAACAAATGCTTACCAGCATTTAAGTTTCAAGTGAACTGTTCCTTGACTACCTACGATATTATAGTAGGCAAACGAATGGATCAGTTTGAACACTCATTTTCGAATGTGATGTTGGTTACCCTGGGTTGTATTACACTTTCCGATATATGCAAGCGTTTGTTAACAGAGCATATTATCACAATGCATGGCTGGATAGTAGTCCTTTGTAAATGGGATTTTTCGAATGACACTAATTGAATATTGCGCCTTCTGCTGATATTGCGGGCCTCTGTATATCTGCCTACCTCTGTCAATGAACACCTGAATTCGAAGATGGTTTGGCCATAGATTAGATGAAATGTGAGTTACAGGCATATCCCCAAATTATTGTCAGGATCACTATGTATGATCATAATCATGATGAACCACACGGTTTTGTATCACAGGGATACTGAGTTTCACCCGCAGACCTACCGTGGTATCCTTTGGTTACAACACATTGTTGATGATCTGATCGTGAAATCACTGAATGTTGAATACTGTCTCGTCGCACTTAAGTGGCACCATACAACAGCTTGGTCTGTCTGGTTTTGAAGTGAAATGAAGATGTTTTTGGTGTAGACAGCGGGTAAGAGGATAACTGATTTGCACCACCTTGGTGCATTTTTTGCCCATAATTGCCACAGAATCTGTACTCTAAAACCAAAGAATGTTCTAGTGATGGCAGATGGCGTTGGATGGGTTCTTACCCCGGATAATTGTTTACAGTGGTGCACGCACGATTTTTACACGCACTTATTTGCGAGGGTTTACTAAAGGTAGCAAAGTGCATGCAACTATTCTTCCCCATTAAAAACATTGAAACTTACGCAGGAGCAGAAAAAAACGACATTAACGGAGGAACTCCAGAGGACTTCCTCACATGGATTTGGGTACGTTTTGATGAATACCAATCAACATAGTTAGAGATCTGCGTAGTCGCGTTTATTACCCGTAAATGATAACTTGGATCGCTTCTAAATCGTCTGCTACATGTAACATTCAAGCTCCGTTCAATCGTCTGAATCCGTGAATACTGGGATACGCTGCACAATTTACGAAATTAAAGCGACCTATAAGTATAATACTTATGGAAGTGAAGGATTTGGCCTTTATTCAATGGAATTAAACAGTGTCTGTCCTTAGATTAGTGTCAACGAGATAGTAAAAGTAACAGTCCAAAGGGACAGTCCAAAAACTGATTTTGTGCTTTGAACTTTGAACAATCACCCTAACTAAGCTTGCTAAGACAATTGCCATGATCATTTCCAGGTCTGCAAAACAAACTTCGGCACGGGGCGCATGTTTCCGAACACAGCCCTGTTATGTTTGTTCTCTGTCCAGTCGCGTGACAAGCGAAGCCTACCGAAGAGCACAGTTTACCTGATTTGCTGAAAATAAGTCATGGTTTTCTTTCTTGTTAACTTTTACCCCGACAGAATCTAAACAAATACTATCTCTCCAGAATGACTTATAAATCGCATCCGCATCGCTCACTGGTATCACAAGCCATGGTCAAACACAACTGGCATTGGTCAGACATTGTAAGAACAATATTTTTGATAGGCATGGGATTATGTGTGGAGCTCGGTAAGTTCATCTGATATTGCGCGTTGTTAGCGAGAGAGAAAAAAACAAAGAAGGTAATGAGTGTAAAATATTCTTCTCTTTGAATATGCGTCGCTGAAAAATCGCTGAAATAGTTTCTGTTCCACTAATGAAGGCTGCAGTGTAGAGTGGGCCATTTAATTTTGAGAAGCATTCCTGAGTGGAAGATTTATGGGAAAATAAACTCCTCGTTTTTTATTCATTGTATGCGACCAACGTCATAACCCCTTTCCAAGCGCTTCAGTCTTCCAAAAACACTGTATCGCACTGACAAGTAAACATTGCCGAATTCCAGTAGCTATTCATATCAGAACAAAGTCAGTAGTAGGCAGTAAATTTCAAGAGTAATCGATAAGGACAAGTTGATAACGAATAAAAGAAACAAGTGACGGTTTCGAAAACCGAAATCAATGGACCACAAATACACTCATTTGCATATCAAGTTGATTTTCACGGGAAACTCAATTGAATCTCTCGTTTATAACATTCTTCAACGGAATGTGCTGCACAAAGGCCGTCTTAAGCTGAATCTTCCCTGAAAACCAAATTGATATGCAAATGAATGCGTTTGTCGAAATCTGTCTAATTTGGGTTCAAGTAGCACATAAGGTTGGCGGAACCTCGAAGACTGCGCTTACCTGATGAGCCCGTAGTGGAAGAGGGAAACCCATCGTGAGCTGTCGAAGAGTATGAGTGAAGTGATGCAAGGCATAGGGCTTGGTCAGTTTTGAAGGTGGACAGAAATCCATCGCATTTTGCTGAGGAACGATGTAGTCTGCTGGGATTAGGATAAACATAAAAAAAAGGTCATGGAACGTTTCACAAGCCCCCATGTGCTTGACGTAATAACGAAAGGACCGCGAATGAGAGCAATGCATGAAAATGAAAGCAACTCATGAAATTTTTGCGTTCTACTTAGGGAATCGTAAGCACGGCAAAAACGAGGAATTTGGAATTACTCTTAATGGGAGTTGGAAAGGGTTTGATGACCAGTCAGCAACAGTACCATTCCCATTTCCGCAACCAAATGGGCGACGGTCATCATTGACAGATCTTTTACAAGGAAACCAGGGAAACAAAATGTTTAGTTAATGCGAATTGAATATTTTTTTCCACTAAGAGGCTCTGTGTGTTTGGCTAGTCTAGGAACGCACATGTAAAACGCATATGTATTTGCACCTACCCATGTTTTCGATTGGTGCACACAAATTCATGTCCTCATTCTCAACTCATTTCACAATTTTACGTCAATAAGCTGCTTAATTTTCCATAGCATTTCCAAAACTGGAATGTTTTGTCCTGAAAGAGGTTTGACTACCTGAAGGATAGCTTGTTACTGTAAATTTTTTATTCACCAAGTGTCCTCAAAACTGTCGAATAAATTGTTATTCACATCTCTATCATGCATGGCATTGATAGAGTTTCAGTAGAATGAATCACTGAACTGTGTACACCCTAAACTATCCACATAAAAAACCTTGTTGAAATGAACATCATCACTTCTATAGAGGTTATACATCAGTTTGAAGATCGCATATCAATAAACAAGTTGCTCCCGAGACGTTCCTTCACACACACAAATTCGTGTTAATATGAACAACATGGTGAAACGACCTAACATGGTCCGTGCATGGCTGATAGTTTCCGGGTGCAGTTGTCTCAAAAGTTAGTGAACGATAAACCAACCAATATCCGGAATGAACATTGTGAAAACAGAACGTGATGGCTGTATATTGATCTGAAGCCACCACTACAGACCAGTTTCGTTTCTCCCTGCCAAGTAGATTGCCCCCAAATATCAACTGGTGAAGTGCGCATAAAATCCAGACACGGACGCATGCAATATGGAGCAAACCGTTATTAGAGCAGATCAGCTCACAGGGGTCCAGTTCGAAAAAAAATACTGTAAAATGCCAAGCAGCAGATACATGATGTTGTCTTGTAAAACATGCGTCCTACTGTGTTCAAATGCTGTTTATTATAACTATGTAAATGAATCCTGACATCAGCCCTTTAATTTGCGAGCGAAAAACTTCCTAAAGATGTATCCCTATTGACCGATCTGGGGATTCCTGTGCTGTTCCTAGGTTGTCGCGCTACTTCGAGAGTCCAAGGAACTAGCGGCTCGGGAGCATTTTACCGCCCCGGTCTTGGCTG